GAATTATCCCGAGAATATCTACCAAAAACTATGAAAAATTACAATTTTATCAGTTATTATGTATTTTTTATTTTAATATAGTTACATAGAGTCTAGTAAGACGGTAACATCTCCTGATTTAAATATATTTTGTTTTACTTAATTATAGTTATATTTTATTATAATGATACAAAATATATCATAAAATCTTGTACTATATTAGTAGATGATAGTGTGTTCAGAGTAAGTAGATGCCAAAATAATATTATTATATACTACTCTACTACTAAGAAAACATCTTTAAGTAGTTTTTAGGTTCTGAGAAGACTAAGGGAACTATAAATAAAAAAAAATTAAAAAGACAAACAAAATATGTTTTGTTGATTAGTATTCATATTGTTATCGTAATACTAGGAACAAAATATTTATATGATATACCTACATCTAGTTGTAGATTTGTTGTGTTTTAATTTATTTCTTAAGCTAGGACAAACATGATATTTTGTATAATTTTTATGAAAAATATCTTACTACTCCTCTAGGGTCAACCACCACTAAGTTATCTACTTATATCATCATATTTCTTCGATACCATCACAATATCAGCTCTCTCGTTATGCAACTAAGCGCACACTTTTTTGTCTGTCAAAATCGCACTCGACTGAGTGCCCCCCCCCCTTATACATCACCGGAAATCACGTGTTAAGAACACAGTATTGTTTTTCCACTATAGAAACTATAAGTAAAAGACAAAATGGATCGACGTTAAGAAACTCTTTGCCGACCACCGGGACTCTTTATTCAAAACCGGTACTTATAGTCCTGAACGAACCCCGAAACGTATGGCACCCTAACCTATTGGCCAACTCTTCCATTTGTTTGATACATTTGCTAGTTAGACGGGCAGTTATACATTTTAGTAATTTACCTTGAATTCCGTATATTTTAATTGGACTATACATATTGAATTCGTATAACATCATTTTTGATGATTTGTAAAACCTTTCTACAATGTTATATCAGTATAATTTTTATACCTATTTATTTCACAGTGAGATTTTGAGTTTTTTAAATATTAGGTCGAAAACCTAAAAGTAATATTAAAAAAACAAAAATGGGTGATTTATTTTTATATTTTATTAGTATTAACAATTATGAAAGATTTTTGAATTAAATTGTTATATAGTACCTTCATACAACGTCAATTAATGTATAAAAAATGTACAAAAAATAATAATAAATCAACTAAATGTAATGGGATCAATCAAAAATTTCTTCCAAGGAATTAACAACAAATGGAGTTCCCTACAGGTGTTATAATACAATAAAATATAAATAACATTATTATATTGCATTTTTCAGTTCTTATATCGTTCTTAGAGATAATATTGTACAAATTACACTTATGAATTTATGATAATAATATGTGAAATTTCCTCTTTGTAACATGTTTTACTAATTTTTTAAGTATGATCAAATTGAAAAGAAATGATTTGATTTTATACCCATTTGCGAGTATAATATTATGTTATAATCTATTTGGCAATTAAATAACTTTAATTAAAATTTAGTGTACATTTTTTATTTATACATATTTATTAATTTTCTATAAGTTATAACTGTCATGTAACATATATTATTGTTGATGTCCAAAAATATTGAATATAACAAGCTTTAAGTCACTTATTAATGTAAAAACAAAAAAAAATATTTAAAACATAGATTATTTTATACATATAATTACGATAAATGTAATTAGATACTGAGAAAAATATTTTGACATTATTTAGCGATGTTAACGAGTAGTGCCTTATTCAATCCAAACAATCTGAATCGTATTCACTAATCACTTTGTTGATTTATTGTAGCCATTTACATATTTAATAAAAATCATAATAGTATTATCTGATTATCCAATTATTGACATTTTAAAAAGTGAAAACACTTAATAGTTTTTGAAGGATCCATTCTGTAGCCCGTGATTATGACAATAAGTGTAGTTCAAATCGATTCTGGAATCATTGTTTTATTGCATATACCTCAGTAGGTAACTCTGCGTAACTGAAGAAAATAAAATCGAAAAATGTAATGGTTTTTTTTTTTTTGTTTTTCCCATTATTTTGGTTAAGATATTATTATTTATTAATTAAGTTTCAAATATCTATGCTTTTAGACTTAATTATCTAATTTCACGAAACATTTATAAAATTAAATTACTATATTATGCGCAAACATATTATATAGGTCGTAAACCTACGTAATTCGTTGATAAATTATCTCAATGCTTAGTAATCAAAACGTAACTTGCTTTGTTTCTATTTGCGTCGAATTTTACATAAATATTTGTTCTTTAAAGTTAAGACTTATTCAAGTCAATGAACCTTGATAGTTTGGTTGCCAAATGAATAGCTTAAAAACGTATATTCCCATTAGTCAGATAACTTTAGGTCCTCTTGGATTTGATACTCTTCGGCGTAAAGCAAATGTAATAAAGTTACAATAACAATGATAAATTGTACCTACGTTCAACGCGTACATATAAATCTAAATGAATATTTTATGTTTTTCCGCAGAGTTCGTGTTGTTTAAATTATTATGTGGTGAGTAAAAACTCGATTATAAATATTTACAATGGCGAACACATGCTGTTCGTCCAATTTCACCCGTCTACGATTTTGGACCACACGCACCTACCATAATAATATTGTTTTTTCAAGGCCGTTTCCTGTTTATAATTTTTCGAAGGACTTTCGATTTTTATATTACCTATTAGACCTATATGTTGTCAATTGCTTTATCACTCACCTATTGTTATAACTAGGTGCCTAAGTACACTTTGCTTATTGCAATCAAGTGACAAGTACGTATAGGGTACAATGCTAACTGTTGTTTTTATAGTTGACCTAATTTTTCAGTACACACCTACATATCAACCGAGTTTTATAATTTGTCCACTTATTCACACACAATACAATAGATGCATAATATATTTCATTATTCACTCGCGTTGATATCGTACAAGTGAATAATGTTATCACAATACTAATTTGCGAACATTGAATAATAATCATTGGTAGGTATATTTGCTAATGATAATAATAATAATAATAATAATAATAAGAATAATAACAAAACCATTTAAACCGAATGATGTTTGTTAAGTGTCATAATATAAATAGGTGTTACATGCAATTATTTTTGTATAGGTATATTTATCAATTATCACACATCAGTCATTACATGTTTACACGTAGATAACACACTTTAAATATTTTAAATTGTGTTTATTGTAAACATAGGTAAGCCAATATGTTACCTTGACGTTTGCTAACTCAATACGGGTTATATAATTTTTAACTCAATGTAGCTTACATTAGAATTTCATTTTTAAAACAATTACTTATAGTAATTAATTAGGTAGGCAAATTATCCAATTAATAGTAACCAGATACAAGGTACAAGTTACTATAAAATAATATAGTTAGGTATTTAAACACAAATTGCTTACTTTAAAAAAATATATCTAAATATAAAATGTAAGTACAAACAAATTCTAAAAATAAGAAAAATATTATTTTTATAACTCATTGCCTATTTAAAGAACAAATATAAGTATAAATGATAAAATAAATGTATTAAAAAATCGGGGAAGTTGTGCTTTGCTGTTGGTGTAACTCTTCATTGAGTAAATGTAACTGAAACAAATTTTAAAGACAATAATCATTGCATGTACAAAAAACGGTTCTGAGCAGGAAACGGTCTGCAGGTTCATATTTCTTAAGAATATTTTAATTTTATTACATATTTATATTCTTATTACTAATAATTTTACAATAATTTTTAAGTATATCAATTATCAATATTTGTTTTTAGCAAAAATAAGTTCAATCTATCATACATCGAATTAGTTATTATTGATATACCTTCTTACCTAGTGATTATTATAAAACTGCTTAAAAATTATAATTTGCAATTATTAACTTATGGGTAAATCAAAATACCTACCTTATTCTCAGGGACGCCGACTAGTAGTGTGTGCCAGTGGATGCCATTTCACTCACTGGGATTTTTTTAATGAACCAAAAAATCAATACGTAATAATCTAAATATGTGACTACTTATGTATGTATCACGTAAATTAAATTGTGCACCCACTGAGCTGATTTTTTGCGATCGTCTCAGTTTATTTTTGAACCGATGACAACGTGAGAAAGCTTTCGCAGTATTTTGCGACTCCGCCATAGTATATTATGTGCTATAGGATGAGTAGGTATAAAATGTACTTGTACTTAAGTCAATATACTTACCAAACAAGGTAATTAGGTTCCATGTACAGTTTAAGATTCATTAAAAGCTTTACACGTGTGTGGTATAAAAAGGTAGCTTAAAATTATTTTAAATATTTGAAAATTTCATTGTGTATAATAATAATAATACATATAATATTTACCTACTTATGGTATGATAGTATATTAATTTATAATATTGAGAAACGTCTGAAGTCCTTACGAATATTTTTTGAATTACCACAAAAATAACTAAAATCATTATTTTGTTTGAATATTAAAGTAATGATTATACTTATAAATAGTTGCAAAACAGACTAACCTAACCATATAGACTCATATTTTCCATCTCATAATATCTTAATGCCATGATTTATAACCAAATAACTATATAGGTAGGTAACTACATGACGTGTTTAATAAAAACCTAACATTTAATTAGTAAAATAATTAATGACTCAAATTTTTTAAAAAAAGTATAAAATATTGTTAATGGGTGTTACACGAGAGTACGGGACTCATGTGCCCCCCTCAAATACGCTCCTGACTAACCTATGTCACATAATTATTGTCATTACTCATTATTATGACGCCATAAAATATATGTTTGCATATTTTATTAAATTGTATTCGTTTCACACTGTAACGGCACGTGCCCACCAAAATCGTTATCAATGTATGATAAGAAATGAACGATAACAAATTATTATCATTATTTTAATCTATTATCTTCATGTCCACTAAAATAATATATCATTATATTAAAATATCATGCCTTTTTATTTTCAGGTTTTATATATTTTTGAGTGGAGTGAATTATGTGAGTTTATTCAATAGTTATTAGTAATAATATAATATTATCATCAAATTGTTTAGTATTAGAAATGGATGATATGTTTTCACTAAGATGACATCTGTCAAGCGTTTGCAATTGACTTTAGCCATCATGAAACCTCATGTGGTGTCCAGTCCATTTTCTTTGCTCGTACGTATCGTCAAAATGTATTTATAAATGATTTCGTTTTAACCCAAGCCGTAGTTGTGCTGATATTGATTATTTCTGTAACAGTAACCAAGTTTACTGCCTTAAAAAAATACTAGTTCAATATTGCTGTATTATTGGTATTTCTATTGAGTTAATTTAAATTTGTTAGTTTCTAAAGAACAATATTGTGCACATGAATTAAATTCACAATGATATGCTATTGATGTTTCCAACAGGATATTAGGCGAACAATACTGGACAATGGTTTTTACGTTGTACGGTCAAAGCGCCAAACAATTAAACTGGAACAGGCAGAGGAATTTTATAGAGAACACAAGTCAAAGTTTTTTTATAACAGACTCATCACATTCATGACAAGGTATTTAAAATGATTTTGATAACTTGCATTTTACTTAATTTGTCATCATACCTATAGTGGACCATCAGAAGCATATATATTGGCTAGGGAAGATGCAATTTCAGTTTGGCGCCGTTTGATGGGTCCAACTAAAGTTTTTCAATGCCAGCTAAGTAATCCCGATTCTATTAGAGCTAAACATGGACTCACTGATACTAGAAATGCCACACATGGATCTGGTAATTTTTTTTATGTGATATATTTATCAATAGATTTACATTTATTTTAAATGGTATTCGAATACTCTTACTCTGTTACACTCATAGTAATACCTTAAAATTATTAGACGGTGCTTCTATAGTAAAAGGGAATAAGTTAAATTACATATTTTTTGTCTGACTGTTGTAGATATTAGGATGCTCCATTATTAGCACCAAAAGAAAATTTAATTTATGGGTTCATATTTTATGCCAGGGGTTGGCTGGCAACCTTTTTGGACTTGATGGCCACTTTCAGAAATTAAAAAAGTTGTGAGTTGTGGCAGATAAAAATAAAAATCTTTTAGTCTCATTTAAAAAAAACAAAGGACATTTGAAATAGTGACTTAGTTTAATATATTAACATATACTTCATATTTAAAAGAGAATAAGTCAAATTGTATTAATGTTGAAGTGATGAATTCATACAATTCCAAAATATTTACATATAATTTTAAATTTGTTCATTTAATTTTTAAACGAGTTTTTTTAGTCCCCCCCCCCCCCAAAGTGCTTTTGAATTATTTTTCCTTTTAATTCTGAACTATATTTAAAAAATAAAAGTGAAATCATGTTTTTATGCATTACACAAGTATTTTGTAGTCTGTAGTCTGACATCAATAAAATAAATTATGTGTAATAAAGATGAGTCCATCTATCCATTTATTGCAAACATTTTAAATAACAAAAGTAGTTTGTAGTTTATGGCCCAATAACATTTTTAATATACAATATAATACTTACCATTTATTTTATTATTGTTCTTACAGTAAGTATACGGACTGATTTTATTTAAAAAATATTTTCATTCATCAGTGTTACAATAATAATCAAAAATAAACATTCGTGTATTGACTAAAATAATAATTATTTATATTATTACAGATTCTGATGAATCGGTTCGCAAAGAAGTCAGCATAATGGTGCCACAATTTTGTTTTGATCAATGGAAACAAACCGAAGAGCCTATGTTTAGAAATGGGAGAGTACAGTTTAATGATAAACAATTTATTCATTCTGCGCATGAAAGTTAGGTTATTTTGTGTATCATGATGATTTTCATTAAATCAATTATGATTATTGTTGGCTACATTGTTAATAGTTTCTTTAGATATATTATTGAAACAAACCAAATATTAGTATTAATATCAATATTAGGCTTGTTCTGTAGAATTCTAAGTCATAAAAAAGTTGAGACTTAATAATAAACTAATTGCAATGTATTATCTCTTATAAAATGTATTTTATAATTATTTTACGTAAGATATAATATTAAATCAATCAAATATGCTCTATGTTACCATTTATACCATAATAACTACCATTATGTTTACTATTGATATTAAGTTGATTATACATTTTTGTTTAAAACCTTGAATTCTGATGTTTTTACAAACTAATATTGGCAAATATTCAAACATTAGGTAAAATGTTGATTTATAACTTAATTTTTATACTTCAATAATTTGTTTAGTTTATTTATATTGTTTATAACTTTCATATCTTTGAAGACTAATTATTTTACAAATCATACATTTTATCTATTAAGAAATGAAATAAAATTGATTATAATTGTATATTATAATTATTGGGATAGTGTTAAATTAAAGAATAGAGTAGTCATTAGTTATTAGTGTTTAGACTAATTTATTTGATGACAATTCACAGCTGTAAAATATTTAACATTAATAGAAATAAAAAAGAATAAAAAGACTGCAGTTGTGTTTTTTTAGCACAGAACTTTTTTAATTTTAATACAGTCATATGGATGTAAATATTTTTTTTTTATACATTTTATAAAATGTATTCAGTATGAATTTTATTTTTCTTAGAATTAACCAGTTCACACTGTATTATCATAAATTCATAATAGAACTTTTTTTTCTTCGAAAATTATAATCAAAATTGATTTCAAATAATCATCATTTTATCAAGCTGCATCAACAATGCTGTATGTACTTATGTTATAACTAATATGACATGTATTATATTAATGATTACAGTAACGTAATATTAGAATTAGAGCACAATAATTTGTAGCAATCTAAGCTATTCTATTTCATTCAATTCCTAGAAAGAAAATAATGTAAAACATCATAATACAATTTTCATTTGTTTAAATTATTCAATATTTATAGTGAGTATTAGTATAACCTTATTAAACCAAATATTGTAAATAGCTAACACAGTATATTTTCTACATTAATATTATACTCAAATAAAATATCATAGAGGGAATCGCATATTGTCTGTGTTTTAAAAACGCATAATCTAATAAATCTTACTGTTATTTTTAATATCAAAGCAAGTGAGTAGACCTATTATCAAATGTAAAAATAAGATTTAAATTTAAAATCATTAGTTTTGAAAGAAGTTATGAGCAGCTTAAAATTGTTAACTTTGTTACCTATGCATTGGTAACTGGTAAGATGGAGAAAACATATGGTATGACCTCCTCTTATGTCTTACTATCCTCGTAGAATTCCAACTACGTCTATGTGTAGGATTCGTGTTTTCTTGTTACACTATGGAGCTGACCATATTGTCTAGACAGTCTCTATTTAGACGAAGTAAGGCAGAAAATATAAAAACAAAACACATAAAAGTATTATTGTAAGCCCCATACATTCCTACTCTGCTCAGAATCTAAAAACATAAACATTTGTCATTAGTAGGGCCAGGATTTCAATGCGAAGTGCATATTTTTTGGTTGATCTTAGACAATACCTTCCAAGTACCTACATAATTTGTTTCATGTAACCAGTGTTTCAAAGCTAAAAATTGTATTTTGCATATTTTGACATTTTTAGCATTATTGGGTCATTATATTGGTCTTAATGCATATTTGTTCAATATACTATATAAATTTAGCCTATTCAAAATATTATCTAAAGATAAATTGTTTTCTTGATATTTAAGTTATTTTTGTTTAGAAGATTTATTGGATTTTTTCTATACACACTGTCAATGTTTATTTTTTGATTCAATTTTTATCTTATACGTATTAATTATTTTGACTGTAGAGCATCTATTCACCAAACATCAGCAAAACCATCAACATCACCGCACCATCAGTCAATTTTTAAATGAAATAATAATTATATCTTATTTATAAGTTCTAAATCAAAATACCGATTTGTATAAAAAATATTTATGGAATTTTTAAGGTCTCTTTTGTGGTAAAATGCATTTTTATGGGCATTTAAATCCGGGCCCTAGTCATTAGTTATTACATTTTTTGTTTTGTACCATAATTATTAAAATGTTTTGTAAAACTTATATTATTATTATTATTACAATTCATTTATTTATCAGTATCTATAAATATATTATCGTTTTAATTACATAAAATATTATGTACAGAATTAGAATATTTATTCAACACACAAAAAGCATTATTTGGACACAAGGACTGCTATAACTGAAGTCAAGGCCGTAGTCAGAAAAATATTTAGGGGGGGAGGTTTAGAGTATAAATATGTTATATTATATAATAAAATATGAAAATATAAAAATATAAAAATTAAATTAATCTTTATTTAAAAAATAGTTAAATCTTTTTTCAAAACAAATTTCGGGGGGGGGGGGGTGAACTCTAACCCCCCTGGCTGCGGCCTTGACTGAAGTTCTACATGAATTACTATTTAATCATTTAAAATAATATGTTTGCAAATTTGCAATAATTGCAGACGAAATGCAAAAGTTTCCTCACAGACCACCATGTCAGTCCATCGGCCATACAATTATTAGATAACTCCAAGGACATCAGATGTCATAAACTTTTGAAATTCTAAAACCATACAACTTAGTTTAAGATTATAAATTATGGAAGAAGCTGCTTCATTGGAAGTGACTCCTTCAACGTATTAAGTATATATAATTTATATATAGTAGTTTAAAATCATAGGTACAATAATTGTTAAACATATTTATAAAGAACTTATAAATATTAGCCTCTAAGGTGGTCTGGATGATTTGGAAATAAATGTTCAAGGTCTAGAAAATATTTTTTGTTTAACAAGTTATTCTGGACCACACGGAGAAAAATAAATAACAATGAAAATAATATCAGCATTAGAGTAAAATATTTTTGGTCATTCCTCTGAGGGGCCCCTTATTGCTGTCCGTTGTTGGCCTGCGCTTTAGTTGTTATCGATATATCGTCAAGATATGATAATAACACCAAGCTGATGTATTCTGTAAAATGTCGATCGAAAATAATGCAAAATTTACTTACCTGTCTCGGGTTTTTTTCCACCGACAAATGACAATAGCCAACTACCTTTATGCAGCATTAGCTATTGCACATGATGGGTGGCCATAGGTGCCGCTCAGTCGAACGATTGCAGAAGCGACGAAATCAACTTAAGTCTATTCTCAGTGAAAATGATTGTTTAAACTCGAGGTAGGTACGTGACAACCAAACAGGGTTTTTTCCGAACGGATTGCACAAGACGAAATCAACTTAAGTCTTTAGTTAAAATTATTGTTCAAATAACTCACAATAGATACGTGACGACCTAACGCATTTTTTTTCGAACTGTTTTCTTCGAAAGTTTTTTTTTATATCTCTGTTGTACATTTAAGACAATAGCTGCTAGTGACGAGATGACATATTGTGTAGTGTTAGCTATCTAATTTTGTTTTGGTTCGCAAAAGTATAGTGGCCATCTATAGTTGACTCATTTAATAATATTATTACATAATATAATACATATATATGTATAATACACACACTCTCTTTTGTCATATTGTGCAGGACACAAAACACATTAATAATCATTCAATTAATGCAATACCTATCAATACATATAGCCATATAGGTAGGTAGGTGCATACAATTAAGTCGAGTTTTTTTTTGGCTCGGGATAAACTTTGAAATGGCTCGAATGTTTGGCTGATTTTTTTTGTTGTGTTCGTAATTTTCAGGATAAGATTTGTGAATTGTGTGAAATACAATTTTAGGAAAATTAGAATATCTGCATGGCAAGATTACACCAGTGGCGTCATCTGTCTAGAGAAAAATAAACTAAATAATAAAATATTTTAAATTTGTTTATTGCATAATTAAGTTACAAAAAATAAGATAGTTTCTATGTATGAATACAATTTTAGATTTGTATTTTAAATTTGATCAAAACCATGTAACTTAGTAAAAATGGTATTCTTAACCCTCATTTGTCGACAGTTGTCCCGTGAACCTAAACACAGTGGCACTCAACAAAACATTCGTAATTAAGTATTCACCTCGCGATGTCTCATCCCTAGGCCCTATTGCTTAGATACCTGAAAATTTACAGCTCGCATTATCACAAGCGTGTTTCACAGGAAACGCTGGACAGGATGACTAACATAAAATAATCGAACGTATCCTGACTGAACCAATGACTGGTTCAGGTAAAACCCAAAGTCCCAAACAATGATAGCGAAGTGCTTGCAATTTTCAAGGTACCTTCGTACCACCATATACGACTTGTGCACTAATAAACCGTTCAATATTTGAGAGATGAAATTTTTTAAGTTTTCAACACCATTGCACCGAATATTAAATAACGAATCGAACAAAGTTTAAATCATATTATAGAGTTGGGATTTTTAACAGGCAACAGATCCTTGGCACGGGCAATGCCGAACAGGACAGATAGTAGTATACAATAAAACTTTACCAATACACGTAATTGTTTCCTTGCGTTTTTGGACAGACTGGATTAGTTATATGTAGTTGTTCAAAAATATTATTATATTAATTTCTTTTTTTTTCTTTTTAATAAAATATATATACCTATATAGTTACTTATAACCGAAATTTCACTGAAAGTTTCGTATAAGTCCCGATGCAGATCATGAATAAATTTAACTCAGAGGCACTCGAAAGTCGAAACAGACCATAATAAAATACGTTTTTCTAATTGACTATTAGTTATGACTGTAACGGAGTACACTAACGTGTAACGGTACAATCACTACAATCATCATCCCTTGCAAAACGGTCATTTTCAGGACCACCAATCAAAACACTTCATTACAACACGAACTGAATACTTATAACTTCACACACCAAATAACTTGGGCTATACAAAGGGAGACCATATCGCATTGTACGGCACCCTCCTTGTATTTATAAGCCCAAAACCCTACGAACTTACAGTCTACAAGTCATTCCGTACAAATAGAGACACAACTACACACGGCGGTGACGCATAGTTTACTAGACGGTACGGGACACAACTTATATACCAGACGTTAAAATCAATTTGTATATTGTAAAATAAAACATACGTTGTACCAGAAGCGGTATTTGATCTTATTAACAAAAAACAGCCCGTCGAATATCGGCGTAGCATTGTATGACGCTCAAACAATGTTTTTTTTTAACAC